CTCCTTGTGAGAAATTCAAGCTGTTTTTTAAGTCTTGCATCTCTCTGACGAGGTTATCCATCCTTTGATTTGCTGAATCTGTGATTATTTGTACAAATGAACGAAAGTTTTTTTCTTGCTGGTCCAGAAGGTTTTTGTAGTAGACCTTTTGCTGTTCTAACATCTCCTTCATAAAAGCAACACTAACTGGCACTTCTTCATCTATGTTAGTGTTGTTGTTTCTCTTAGGTGGCATGTTGATGGTGGCACTTGTAAACAATGTCAGGCACGCCGAGTTAATTTACCCACACCGGTTTGAGTAGTCGTTGTACGCAGAAAATGCCTCTATTCCGAGAAAATGTTAAACAAAACCACGTAGAGGGTGCTTTAAACTTGCCTTGACTGTAGTTCTGTCCTCTGGTGTCTCGGGAAGTGGTTTGTAGGAGTCGGAATCCACAGGTGGTTGAGGAATCCCTTTGTCTCACGGTAGGTTCCCTCCCCACGTACTGCGTCACACCAGTTTCGTGATCGAAATCTTCCTCAATTTTGGCCAAAACGGTTCAAAACTTGGGTCAGAAGCAAGTCCAGATATTACTTCACTTGTTTCCTCGAAGATTCACCCTCGATGGCATTTACTGCACTAAAAAAACACTTGTTTGGCCTGGCAAGTGCAGGAGCTGACAAAAAGTGGGGCAGCTGTAAAAGCGCCACCATGCGATCCAACGCATGTATTTCGCACTTCCTGTACACCAGTATTTCAAACTAGCCCGGCACAGTAAAATATAGATTTTAATAAGTTCTACTTCTACTAGTCTAAGTTTTTGTCTATACTTTAAACTATATGAAAACGTATGTATATGTCACAGAGAGGATATGTTATGCATAAACAGGTAAAAGAGGCATGGCAACTACTTATCTATCTCTACTCAAGATATTGGGGGGGGGGGGGCTGCGCATTCAGTGCGGTATGACTCGTTTATGAAGAACTTTATTGACACAACAAAAGTAGAGCGACTTTCGTAAGGTCTTAAACTACATGTAGACATACAGACAGATACGTGGGTACAACAAAATTAACCTACGCACAAGACAATAGATGAATGTTTATATGAGAAATGGCCCCCAAACTGTACATATACAGGGCCCTATATGGGTCGCACTGTATGTACAACTCAATGTATAGGTCCTGCAGGACAAGGGTTAAGGTGGTTATCTGTACAGACCATCCTGTCATTAATCATAGTCAGTGACTGTGTAAATCACCCTTCAGTCGCCTCAGGTGATCACTAATTACATCAATTGTTGCCTGTCCATGCGTCAGTATTGATCCATGTAGCGATTAGTACCATGGCAACAAACCAATTAACGTCTGCCACCATGGGCGTGCCCAGCCAGAAACGAGCATCACATTCGTTGCGTTGATACGAATGTATTCTGGGTACGAAATCCCACTTGTATAATGCATGTATGTCTGATACTGATACTGCTGATGCGGGTGAATAAAAAAAAATTCTGGACAAAAAAAAACTAATGCACAGGAATACAAAAGCTGGTGTTGTGAACTTGCGGTAGTACATAGCGACGTACATGTATACGACAAGCCGGCACATGCTGGCTTCTTGCGGAATTCATGAATCGGCACCGTACGTATGTACTGAGTCCTTAACTCGTGGAGCTTTGGTAACCTGGGTGCCGTCCTACAGAGTTACCACCGGCTCCGTATTCTCGCTAACTACCATGGACTACCCAGGCCTAGAGCCAGGTCAGAGCCTCGCAGAGGACGTGATCTTTTTTTTTTTTTGAGATCCCTAAAATTAAATCTGTGTGGCCTAACATACGATCTGAAGTACTTTCTTGACGTACGTCAAAGCAGGCCGATTTGCACACAGATTTGTACGCAGTTTTCGTACCCTCCCCTGTACATGTATATACAGATTTCTGACGGTTGGTTACATGTAGGTTTTTGCCCGCGTGTACGTGTAAATTGGTTGAATTCATTTTCCCCTAGCCTCTTTACTTTAAGCTCGCAAAAACGCATTGAAGCCGGAATCCACCGACGTAGGATTCATGTAAACCTGGGTGCCAGACGCTGGCGTTTCATAGGCGATAATTCTTTGGGGGGGAGAAAACCTAATGTCCGCTACCAAGAGTATCCGTCCAAACCCCTATATCTTTCACGCCAGCGAGAAGATCATTAAAGCCAGGTTGCCACCTCGGGGTTAGCGGGGCGTGTGGCTCCTCTGGCCGAAGGGATTGTCACTCACTCGCGGTAGGGTCTTGCACCCAGGCTAGATTCATGTACATGTGCCCCCCGTCTGATCTACACATCGGTGCCAGACTAGTATCGGGCCGTTAGCCCGCTGCTGTTTCCCTTCGGCAGCCAAGAGCCCTTCGCCCGCCGGTCTAAATTACCGCTACGGCGGAGTTG